TATGGTTGGCCTTAAGGTTGCCAAATTAATGCCCCGTTTTCTAATAACCCTTATCAGGTGCCGTTTATGCTGAAAATATTGATAACGTTTCTTTTCTATTCGCTCGCGTTTATAATGATCGTTTATTTTATGTTGGTCATTTTATAAAATAGTGAACCAGAGTAGGTACATGTATCTGCGCAGTTGTTTGACTAGTCGTGTCTTGTCAGGCGATAATTTATTGTATAAGCTTGCATGAGGAATGAGAATAGGCAGCGGAGTATGTAGTAGGCACCGTGCTCTTAGCTACGGCGCGTGCCATGGAAAATCACAGAAAACAAGGACACAATGCAATGGTTCATTCAACCTCACGTTATTATTCAACGAGCGGTCTGTGATGAAACCATTGATCTTCATTATTATTAGCGGAGTGCCGTGTCGAAATATTGGACCATGTACGCGCAAGTCCGCGCAACCAACCTAAGGGCCAGCCGAAATATCGCGTGGTACTTAGAACAACGCACTTGCAATAATAATAGGTCTTAAACGAATATGGTGTCGACACTACGAAGGGCTCACTAAAGAGCCACTACTTTTAATTTATAGTTAACTCTACATTTGTAAGTATGGGACATACCTAATGTAGTCTTGTTTGAAGGATCATTAATTTCAATATGTAATAAGTAGCACTTTTTACGGAGGTCCTGGATTTGATTTTCATCTGAAAATGTAATGTATCTAATGTACCTTATCTGAAATCTGATAAATGTGTATTGTGTACTTATCTATCTACCTACACACTTTGAAAAAATTAAGCAGGTTGAATTGAATCAAAAACATAATTATGGCGGTTTATGATGATAATCCAGTGTTCCTATAGATAGATTGACCAACTCGAACGAAGAACGAATGTTCTAAATATCGGCGTTCACAATTTATTAGTAGATAGCCATTGCTATGACTTTCCTCATGTAGAGTCGTATTGTTGAATCCCCTGATATACTGAAATCAAATTCCTAGACTCATTATTTGTGTTTTAACTGAGCTTTTAGTAAGTTTAGTATATTGATCAATCATCAATCAGTCACGCACGGCTGAACTGAAGATTTTAAACTTTGTTTAAACTTTAACTTTTAACTTTGTTGAGTAAGCTTTTCGTTATATAGGTATCTATATGTAGATTTCCTTTTGACAGGTTAGAAATTTCCCAATCTCACTGATAAATATGTATACTTTCAAACTAACTAATTTGCGGTTTTGAATTTAAATTAACAAACTTGCGGAATTTTATTATCCTCAACAACACGTGTCGTGAAGATTATGACGTTGGAAAGAGCCTAATTTACTGGTTTATGGTTGCCTAATACAATGTTACATAAACGTTAAACTACTTTCCACTTTTAACATCGGAAATAACAAGGGAAAAACCAACCACAAATAAAATGTGTTAATGTTAAACATGACGTCCACGATACCACATGATCGAATTTAATCTATCATTGTCTTGATCCCCTGAGAAATAACGGAATTGAATGATTTATACGGCGTTGAGGGATTACAGATCAGGCAAAAGCTGCATTATTAGGCTGGGTTGCACCAACTTACTTTGATCGTAACTTTAACGGTAACCAGTGTATTTGTGGTCAATAAAGAATTTATTTATTTATTTTGTATGGAGTTCGGCAGATTTTTGACTTTTGAGACTCCATACAAAAAATACCGGTTATCGTTATAGTTATCGTCAAAGTTAGGTGGTGCAACTCAGCCTAAGTAGGTACTCATTTGGGAAACATTTAGCGCTATTCAACTGTACAGTTTGTTTATGCTTGTTAGTATGCTAGTGAAATAGTCGTAGATAGAGTTCGAAATTATCTACCTTTTTGTTTTCTTCAGTGATTATATTGACTAATTTCTCAATGATACTTCTATACCTACCTAACCTACTCATTAATGCGTTATATTGCTCCGGTCAGTAAGTAGGTATACTTCGCTGTTCAATGCCAAGCTTTATACCCACTCACCCATTACCTAACACATTCATGATCTACCTGAATTAAACCTCGAATGGCATTGGCGATTATGTTTTTACTCTCTTATCTCTTACTGCAACAAACGTAAGGCTCATAATAAGGTGTTCAAACAGAATCTGCTTGACTATTTACGTAGCACCATCAACGTTACAATGCGTGTAACTACTTCCAAATAGTTTTTATTGTGGGACCGCGAAGATTCGAGACGTTCGTATAAATAAATGTTTATTAATAGAACAATAGAAAAACAACGGTAAGCGGTGCATCGTGGAGAAATCTAAACATCGGGTACATAGGGTGATTAGTATTCATACCTACATCAAACGTAGCCAAAATCGAGTTGGGTGATGGTGTAACCGCGTGAGTGCGGTAGTAATGGCCAGGGTTCGTTCGCCGTGGAAAGCGAAAGTGCGTTCACTGGGACAACGACCGGCTCCTGCCTCTGCCCGCTTCCTGCGCGATACATTATCATCGGAGGCGCGTCACACCTTTGCCGAACGGGCTCCATAGGCGCGCGCGCCTCCCGCTTCCTTGGTAACCGACGATCGGTGCGCTAGGGTTGCCAGGTCCAAAAACACAAAAGCCAGACATTTTACCCTAAAACCCGGACATATCACGGGGGGGTGGGTGCAATTAGTGTCATACGTGTCATACTCACGAGTGAGTACTCTCATCATCGGATCGGCGGTTGCCCAACATCTTGATGCGTGCGCTTGATAATTATTCTATAGCTCGACTAAAAAGCCAAACATGCCAACTAAAGCCGGCCACCTGGCAACACGTCTATCGTAGAGTACTGTTTTATTTGAAACTAATAAAAATAGATGTGTTTTTACATTACACAACTGAACCGATTAGATGCCTAATTGTCTGATCATAAAATTTCACTGACCGTAGAACCTTTTCACGAAAATATCCTAACCGAAATAATGAACTAAGCTTTGTAATTAGCCTTGTTAAAGATAGGAGGATGTTGTTTTCCTAAATGGTCACTTCAGCCCTAATACCTCCGTATTAGGGCTTTAATCAAGCTTTAATTAAGTCGGAATCTCAGGGCTCTACTTTATTTCCGTGTGTTGGAGGTGATTTGAGAATAGGGTAGAATATTAAGCGGATATCTGGGAAACTAAGGTAGTAATCGAGGCGAAGTAATGAGATTTTGGCAATGTCTGTTACTCCCAGGATAGAGTCCTGAAAATTAGGTAGAGCTGTAGCCTTTGTTAGAGCTGGAAAATAGATAGGTGGATGTAGAGCGAGTCAGTAAAATTTTCAGCGATATATTCTGCGCCTAGTGAAAAATATAGATGGTGTAATCTGTGTGGTATAGTTTGTCCTAGCGAATAGAAAAGCCCAAGCAATCTGAAAGCTAACGAAAAAGGGATGAAAGCAAAGCGTCGTTTCACAAATTAGGGATCTGAAAGTTGATATTTATGGTTGTGGTTAGTAATGTTTCAGAATAGTTCAGAATTTACGACCCCGTTTTTTAATGCGAGACGCCCATTAAAGATGTTTGGAAACGAGAATCCAGGAATCTTCGCGGACAACGCCATAGCATTATGCTAGTATTACGAAATGTCCGTAACTCCATTTTTTTCAGTGAGATTTGAACCCGTAACCCCTAGGATTGCAGATGAAAACGTATACTTACCTACTATTAGCTATTTACTGGACCAGAAGCCTATTCAGTATTTTTTATTTTAAACCATTAAAAATGAAATTAAGTAATTAGATACCTACATATAAGGTAAAAAAACAAATCGATTCGCTTTTTCTGACAAAATAACGCCACCAACAAGTTAATTTCATAATTTTAATGGATCTAATGAATACAAATTGGCCGGTTTATGATTTACACGCTGAAATCTACATCCTGAATAAAAGAAATCGCAGGAATGATTTGAACACGCAGAAATTTAATTTTAACAATAAAATTTAATTCTTGTTTACCTAAAAATTATTGTTACCTATATATTTTGTGTTAATTATTTAAGCGAACACCAATCTGCAGACCAAAACTTCTCATCGCTAGTAGTTTTTGTTTGTTTCTATTTAGAAAGGAGTCAAAAGTAGGTATTATTTTTATAATTAACATTAAATAAATATACTTATTGCTTACGTAGTTTCAGCCAACACTTTATAGTTTCAGTTCGATACGCGAGTTATCGAGTTGTACCGCTTAGCTTCCTGAAAAAAAGTTTTCACAGATCTTAGAAAATTATGTGGTCCCAGTAGAAAATCATGCACATCATTATATTTGGGATTTTTAATGGATAATACGTTCTACTCACTTTTTTAATACTTAAATTGATAACGGTTAATAACGAGCACCTATGTAATGTTATCGCCTAAAAATGATAATGCTGCAAATTCGCCTTGTGAAGAAAGATTGCTATAAAATAGTGGCAAGGAGTAAAGAGTTGATAAAAAGAATATTATCACTGCACCCTAATAGAGAAGTGATTCACTAAGCAAGAAGATTATTGTTGTCAAATTAATTAATCAATCTTAATATAATCTATAAGATAAATAATAATAAACTTAACTTATTAGGTAATTCACGATGACACACGATACACACCCAGTGTGCTACTGCTGTGCTTAATTCACGTAATTGTGGGTAAAATTAAAGTAATTTACTTGAAATTACTTCTAATTCAAATGGAGATAATATGTCTCAAATATTATATTCTAAAAGGATCCCTCTACGTATCATATTAGACTCTAGTTTATGTTCTTAAGTGTAGCCTTAGTACCATCCTTAAATTACCTGAAACTTTACGAGAATGTGGTCTATTAATAAGTTTCAAAATTAAATAACTCTCGTGAACATTCTTAAGCATTCACCATTTTTTACTAGGTAGAGATCTAGTTTATAAAACTCCGTCATATTCTGTAAACAAAAAGCTATCAAAACAAACAGCTAACAATAACATAACAATGACGCATACACTGTTAGTGCTGCATTGTTCAAATTTCCCTCTTGCCGATGGAGACAGCCAGTCGCGTACCTGTCTGGCGGGCGCAATCGTTACCGCGTCGGTCTGCATCGACAGGCATGCGCAGTGCGCACCACCGTGCGAGCATTCGACCAAGTGGGAAGTGAGGAGGAACGGCGCTGCACGCTGTAAATGGTCGCCTCCGAGCCGCTCCGCCGCGCCGCCCCGCACCCGCAGTCCTCCCGCCGCGCCGGCTTCGCACGCTCCTCGCTAACCGCATCATGGTGAGTCATACCTCAGTGCGAAACTATTCATTTACGGCGACCTTTATACGATAGACACGGGCAAAAATAAAACACGACACCAGACCTGCCATAAAATCAACGAACGTGCTACAACGCACCTATCCGGCTTCGACGCGAATTGCAATAAATAAATCTAATTATGTGAATATTGAACTTAAAGAAATCGAGGAGTCTCACGTATAAACACTGAAAGTCAATTAAACGTTTCGCCTAGAATCATTTAACAAAGTCTAACACGCGTTTCAGGTAATGGACAACCGGATGAACGAAGAAACTGACAATGAACACAACTCCTCGATATTCGTGACCAATTTTCAAAATGGAGAAATAGTTAATTACTCCCTTGTTTTGATTAAAGGATTCATAACAAGAGGTAACACAACAAACCAGGACCAATTGACATGCACATTAAAAAATGAAAAAACACAAACAAAATCACAGTGGTCAGTTTATAATGGCGAATTTAAGGTCATCACTGAATTAACCAGAGGAAACAACACGATTGAACTAGAATATGCAGAACAAAAGAAATCATTTATATTGGAGTATGAGCCTCGTAAAACGAATCTCAGAGTTACACCAGTTTACATAATTTGTCAAGGCCATGACGGATGCTTCCAAAGTCCTCAAGATGTTGATTGTTCTGTAGAAAGTGCTAGCTCTCGTATAGTCCTCGGATCAAAATTAATCCAATGCTTAACAGCTGAAAAACTTTTTGAAAGTGGAGTTGGGAGAAAAACTTTCCAACTTGAACATGAAGTAAATTCCAAAAAGCCTGAGTGTGTCATATTCAGCAGCAGCTTAAATGTAAATAAAGCAAGAAAAATGAAGCAAGCAGAACTATGGACTCACTTCGGAAGAGAACTAATGCTCTCTGATTTAGGGAGTAATGAAAGGAAGTTTCTGGGATTTATATCATGTACGAGATTTAAAGGGACTGACATTGAAAAACCAATGACTCACGATGAAATCGTTTCACTAACAGAAGCTTACGCCGCACTTGGAGGCGGAGGTCTAGCTCTGTTTGGTACTGCTTGTTTATACACATGGCCCACAGCAGTGGATGATATCATCCCAAGATTCATGGACACAACACCAGTAAACAACCGAAGATTTATGGACGACAGCGGATACAGAGGAACCCTTGGAGGCTGTTTTGCGACAACATTGGGCTCAGTTTTCCATGAATTAGGTCACACCTTTGATTTAGGACATACTAAAGATGGTATCATGGGAAGAGGATTTGATAATATTGACCGTGTCTTTACTGTTGGAGAAAGAAGGTCATCGCTGATAAAAGATAATATGAATAATTATAGCGGTAAACCCGTACAACATTCCACAGTTTCACTACAGCGAAACATTAGTGTTACCATGAACGTGGCGGAACCACTACGCTTGTTGGGGCCAAGAAGTAAAACCACGTTAGGGAACTTTGCTTCAATGTCAAAATCTGACATCGTACGAAGAAGTCCAAATGTTACACCAATAACTAGACCATCCAGTGTATATTCAAGCATTACAAATAAACTCACAGACTCCAAGAGAAACATCAACCGAGTAAACGGAAATGATTCAATTTACTGGACCAGAAATTGTGCAGTGCTATTATCATATCACCGATGGTTCAACAATGAATATGGGAGAGAAAGACAAGCAATAACGAGATATCTGAAATTTGACAAAAACAAAATGCTGATTATCTCAACGGCTGGCATAAGAATAGTTGAAGTAAGAGATGAATCGAATGGAATGGTGTTGGATTCGTATGAATTCACTAACCTATTGCCAGAAAAAAGATTTTTGGTCCCATTTACCTTTTCTCCTAAGAGCAAAGTCTTGACCATTGTCGTAGAAGACGATTTGGGCAATGTATTGAAGCAAACATTTTCTTATTGATTTCATTCCAAGCTAAGAATAGAATAGATTAATGTATTGACAATAAAGTGAAAATGTAATTGGGAAGTATTAATTTATGAGAAGGACATGTATATAAGTAATTTACGTGATAACAAAAACATGTAATTTTAACTTTGCCTATGTTATTATATTTATTAAGATTCTCAGTAACTAACCGCGATAGCTTCGCTTCTGTGATTTTGAAAGTGTACATTTTCAATTTTAAATTGTGGAAACATCGCTCTGTGTAATGGCAACTGGAAATTTGACAATTAATAACTGGCATGACATTAATGACATTCCGTGTTGTTTGTTTACACTTAAAATTTTCAGGAAACTGGTGGGCTTATTTTATCAGCTTAATTTTATCATTTGAATGTAAATACTCATTTGCAATGACTTAGTTATCTATAGGTAACCAGTGTAGAAATTTGGCGTGCAGATGATAAATGGTTTTTAGTCATATTGGACATTACTAATAATTTCTTACAAATGGCAAGTTCTTCGGGTCAATTATCGCATCAAAGCAGTTTCTGGAGAAACATGAAAGAATTTCCACCTGTAATTGATGGAAGAATACATTTTGTGAGTTTCTTAGAAGCTGCAAATGATTTGATATCGTTAGTGGGTATGTACGTGAAATGTATCTGCAATGCACTGTAATAAAAATCACGTAAAATGTTTAGTTAAAGGCTTAAATATCAATTACAATTTATTACAGAACGTCTTGGCAAGGTGTTTGTGCCAGTTAAATATGATATGCAAGGGAATATTGATGTAAGTGAACATACAAAAAATATTGTACCTACTTTACAAAAACTTTGTATGTTAACTGGTAATAATTATTGCAAATTGTTCACCTACATGTATTTTTACATTATAGAAAGTAAAGAAGCATTATCAATACGATGAAGCATCCTGCTTGCTTGAGTTAATGCTTGATGAATATAGCAGAGGAAAACTGAATGCACTAGAGGGCATATTATGGCTTAATAGGTGAGGGTTTTTTCTGTCTTATATTATTATACTTCACCATTATCTAGTTACTATGCCTTTATCGACCTTACTAAAAATGTTAATTATACTTCATTATGTCTTATTACCTATTAGTCTGTCATTTTGTATACTTTTGCACTATTTTCAATTTTAAATAGAAGAGGTATGTAATTTAACTTTCTTGTTTGCATATTCCAACTGGCAATATCTGTCTTTGTTCACAGAGCATTCTTGTTTTTCGAACTGGCATTTCAAGAAATAATTAAATGTCTGCAGTCTGGTAACTATGATATAAACATGGCCAAAATATTTACAGTGGCATACGAAGGATCTGTCAAAAAATACCACAATTGGGTAACACAACAAATATTTTTTGTAAGTTGATTGAATGTATTTGGTAATGACAAATTGAGAATGATCTTTTAAAATTTTATTTAATAACTTTGATAATCAGAAGTCCAAAAAGACATAATCAGTAAATAGAATAGCATGAATTATTTTTGTGTAATTTTAATTTTTCAGTTTATCTGCAAAATGTCTCCGTCGTTGCTTCAACTTTTGAAATCCCTTGAAGTTGATAGTGATATGAAAACATTTGAAACGAAATTAGTCCAATTCAACATAACATTGCATTTAAATAGGTGTAAAATTGATGACTTTTTTAAAGATCACCAATTGTTCGAAGATTAGATGATAAGCTATCCAATTCAAATCCCAAAGTGTCCTAATTTAAAATATGAATACAGTTAGATTTTGTTATTTGTAACAATAAATTGACTAGAAATAGATTTTGTATATAATACACTAAAAATTATTGTAAAGGATCACTTCTATTATTATTATCAATTACCTAACTACTTAATTTTTTTAAATAATCATGTAATGTGTTTAACCATTAAATAGAGGTGGTCCTAACTGTAACCTAAGATAACCTACACCTAAATGCTGTGTTAGTACCTATAGAGCAAGAGGCTATTATAAAATAGATATTTATTAATTACATTACCAATAGGATTTTTTGTATTGTGAACCAAAAACTTGTGTATGTATAATAAATCGCATTATTTATTACTCATATTATACCAACTAGAAGTGGAATATATTTTTGTGTAATAACATTTCTGTTAACATCTATGGAAGCAAATACACACAGATTTTCGAAGACTAGTGCCTTGAGTGGTTGACAGCAAGAATTACAAATTATTGTGTATAAGAAAGGTTCAAAACATTTTAATGAAATACATTATGAAGATGTTATATTTTGTACCAGTAGCTATAATGACAATGCTCTAAAAATAATTTTAACCCAGGATAATTAAGCAATGAGATGTGTAGAGTATTAAGGTGCTAGTAATAGTTTGAGAGATGTCACTTAGATCTTTGTTTGTGTATTACAAAATTGTGTTAATTATATATTTATTCTTATAAATATTACTGTAAAACCGATTGGAGCTTTGCTGCTACACATGTTAGCTTATAATGAATTCATTATAAATCTTGAGTGACTATGGAAGTTGTCAAACAACATAAATAAACATTTTTAAAATGCTTTCATTTTGTATTTATTACGAGTATTCTTAATTAACTTGTAACATTATTCTTTGGAATGTTTTAAATATACACTTTTAGCAATATTAGAGGCCTGTTTCAAAGCTAAATAACTAAATATAATTTCCGCAATGGTAATGGACCATAAACATGCATGTAAAATAATCTCTGTGGGTGTACTCAGTAAATAAGGGTTAAATAAAAAGAAACTAACTAGTGGCATCTGCATCAGGGTTGTCAACATCAGAAATCCAGCAAGCTCTGGCACCTGGAAAGTGGGTAAAGAGGCATTTCTATAGGCAAAATTCAGGTGGTGATGATGTTGAACTTAATAATTTATATTGATGTTTTCTAAAACTCTTACACCCAATTTTTTTAGACTTGAAGAATTGAATAATTGAGCTGTAAAAGACTACCCATAGATTTTGTATGACAAAGGGAAGCTATGATTTTAAACCTAAATAAAATAGGACGCACAAGTGTGTAAGAAAAAAATTAAGGGTAAGAATGAAGTTTAGTAAGATTGTCTTGAAAATACAGTTAATTCTTCCCACCCTATTAATAATAAATAATTGTGTCAACTATTAGTAGTGGTATGTGAGTAAACTAAATAATAAAAATAAAATACAACTTACTCTGCAGGATAAGTTCCCATAGTGACCTAAGTAAAGTCTTGCTGATTCTATTATTGTAAGTAGCATAAACACTGTGAGAGACAGATATTTTGTGAGATGGCCCAAGACATGTAGCTGAAATAAAAGAAAATAGTATTTAATTTTCATACATAAATCATTCAATAGATTTAAAAAACATTTTCTTAAATCAAACTCTATATTGGACTGTAAAAGTTTCATACAATACAAAAGAATATTAATGTTATCGGATCATACCGTTAATAAGTCTATGAATTTACCTTATCGTACAGAAAAAATCCAACTACGATTATCCAAATCACAAAAAGGTATACATTCAGGTAAAGGCATTTTTGGAGACGCAGCATCGTCCGGTATTCCATGATTAAAGAACCTGTTCACTAACATGCATGTTCTGGCGATGAGTCTACTTTAAACCATGTTTAAACCAAAATGATTATTTCCTCTATTTCATTCTTGTAATTCGAAAGTAAAAACTTTTTCTCACACAACAACAAAATCAAAACTCGCAAACAAAAACATGTCACATATTTTTTTAAATAAACTTTACAGCCTGTGAACTTAACAGTTTAGCCAAATCCACTAAGCTAAATTTGCGGTCCACCAAAAGAACTTTGTATAAAACCGGTAAACCGGTAAAAGTTCTACAGTAGAACCGGTAAATCGCATGTTTGTGGCGACCTATTTTTTTTTCATGGCAATGAATCTGACAGTCGGTAAAATAGCTACACTTTGCATAACCTCAAAATTTTTCGAAATCATTGAAAAATAGTATTTTTCATTTCAAGGGAATAAATTAATAAATAGTCTGAATCAAAAGGACAATGATTTTATCACGAACATTTCGTTTTACACTAGGTAACGTTCTTAAGTTCAAAAGTTGCAATATTAAAGTTTATGCCATAATATTATCTTTTATTTTGTGTATAATAAAATATATTTTTAATTTAAGGCTTACTTCGACCAGAAAGTGTTGAAACAACTTTGAGTGCTGGTATTAAGTATTTTGCACCACCAAAAAATTATGACCGTAAGTTACCCAATAACAATGATCATTATAGAGAAAGGCACAAGCAGGAATAATTCTCATCTTTCACATTTTCAGACATTGAGATACCTGAACGTCAAAGGCTCAAGGTATACGAGAAAGTCCCAGTGTACCCACCTAACTTGAAACCACCCAAAATGCAAAAGAGACTGCGATACATGAGAGGACCTGAACCTTTACACACCACTTTACAGTTGAAGCAATATGGTGTTATTGTAAGTAAATATATAGAATAAAAATAAATAAACTAAACCTAAATTAAATAAAAACCATCAAAAGTGTTGTATTTTCCCTAGTCAAAGCTAGAGTACAAAATGCTAGACAATTTTGGGGTTTCCAAACTGTGCGTTGCAACACCCTGGGGCGAAGTAAAAAAGTTTTAGCTTTCTGTTCCTTTGATAAAAAGATGGTCTGTTACTTTTTTAACACTACAGTGTAAAGTACACTGTAGTTAACAGGATACACAGTTACAACAGGGTAATTCTCAAAAAAGCTGATCACATCTCATAAATAGGGTGTTTTTTTTAGAGGTATAGAACTTGAAAATGAAATAAAATATGTAAAAATATGTTTGATTCACATGGTATTGGTTTTGTTTAACAGATGTTCTTATGCCATTTATGCTTCAAAATGATTTTGGGCCAAAGGGCGCCACGGTTGGCTCAAATATAGCGTAATCGAGATGTCCAATTTTCAATTTCTTTTTCGAGCAACTGGGGCCATACATCGGCAATAACGCGACGAATGTTGGTATTTAATTCCGTAGTTTATCTGCGCAGTAGTGGACTTCAGATATCCCCAGAGAAAATAATCCATATGTGTGAGATCACCCGATTGTGGAGGCAAATTCAAAGATCTATCGAGTGAAATATTGCGCTCATCGAATGTTTCCCGCAATAAATCGAATGTGTCGCGTGCTGGTTGGATGGTAACACCATCTTGTTGAAACCATAGCTCTGCCACATTAATATCATTCATCTGAGGAATGAAAAGTTACGAAAATTACGTCGACCGTAATATGGACGTTTGTATGGAAAACTGAACCATGTTTTTTAAAATACATTTTTGCACAATTTGCAAACGTTTTTCTGAAGTAATTCTATTTAATTATAAAATGGCAAAACCTACTAATGTACCACCAACTATCAAATTAATTATCACTAGAAACAGTGCAACCAATTTAAAGTTGTATACCTGTAAAAAAAAACACCCGTTATTTGAGTTAATCTAAAGATTAAGTCAATGCCTGGTGTTAATATTAGTGGAAAGTTTAATTGATTCCATGCATTCATTCACAGCATTAAGTTCACCTTGTGTTTCAAATTTTGGCATTAAAGTTTAAATAATTAAAAAAAAATCATTAAAAACCTTAAAATTTCAGGCAACTGGTGGAGGTAGGATGAGCATAGAGCATTTTGAAATGGCTCGTCTGGTTGTGGCTCGCAAACTCGACCAAAAGAGAATGTTCGCCATCTGGCGGATCGACCCTCCATGGCAGCCGGTGACTAAGAAGGGGCAGGGACAGCGTATGGGTGGAGGAAAAGGTGCCATCGACCACTACGTCACTCCTGTCAAAGCTGGCAGAGTGATATTGGAAGTTGGTGGCAAATGCGAATATGCTGAGGTAAGATAATAACTCTTTATTACATAATATCTCTTATTTTTTATGATAATTTTCTATGTAATATCGATAATCCAACCTTCGGAGGGTGGACTGTATCGGTGCTCTATGGATTTATTTATACCTACAAACATAAGCCGCGTAGTTGCTCGCGCCGGAAAATCCGCTTAGAACAGTGAACGCAGTGCTATCTGCCACCCACAATACAAATTTGCTTAGTTTGGCACTAGATGGCGCTGTGTAAAGTGTTAAGTATTACAAGGGATATTTTAGGTACCTATTTAAATAGTGAATTTAAGTATAGGCGCCCGCGCATACTAGGCGACATGCGACAGCTCAGCGACTAGACGCCTATTTTAAGCCTGCAATACATGTTGGCCGAGCGTCGCCGAGTGAACGCTAATACCAAGGTGTAGGCAGGCAGTAAGTTACAACTTGCGATCACTCGCGACCACTTGCCGCACTTCGGAAGGTTGTCGGTTTTTCAGCACAAATCAAAGGCGCTCGCGCGCACTCGGCCAATAGTGTTCACATGTTTGTCTACGCGGTTTGCATTGGCATTCGACAAACTTGCCAAACGTCGAGGCAGTACCACTTGTCAATTTCAAACATTAGCTTGTCGTCGCGACTCTGCGACTCTGACGCCAGTCGTCAAGTGTGAGGAGCTTTGAACAAAGTATATGAAAGTTTCGGTCGCAGCCTGTCGTCGCGTCTAAGTCGCCGATTTATTACTGTAGCTGTCGCGTGTCACCCAGTGTGTGCCTACACTAAGCTGGAAGCACCAATATTTACTGCACAATTTCTCAAGAGCTCCTTTATCATTTTCAGGTCCACAATATGCTGAAGATTGTAGCAGAAAGATTACCATTCAAAGCAGAGGCTGTATCTATGGAGATTTTAGAAAAGAAGGCTGCCAAAGAAAAATGGCAAGAGGAAAATAATCAGAACCAGTACACAATGAAGTACATCATCCAAAACAACATGGGCGGCTGCCACAAGATGTTGTCGCCGGTCGACCACAAGTGGTATGGAAAGTACTTGTAATTATGTTATTTATTTTAATTGTTGTAGAAATATATTGTATAGTTAAGTAAACAAATGAGTTCTTTGTTCTTGATAGGTATACCATCTTTTTTACTCCTAAATAGACAGAGAGTTGATCAGTTTTCAAAATCAAATTCATGACTTTCATTTGAAAAAGTGATATTGTTGAATGTATATACAAAACTCGAATCTACTACTAGGTGTGTGTCTATGGAAACGCATTCTTGATGTAGGTAGGTAGTTGTCTATTATACAGTTCAGTTTAAACGGAATAAGTATAAATTAATTAATAAAACCAGTCAAATGTTTTATAATGGTTTATTAAATTTGACATTTTATGAAAGGATCTGTGACAAGCCTCAGTTTGCGTACATGTATAAACCTTGTAGCGTTAATCGTTTATAAACTCCTTTCTCATATAATTACGGTTTTAAATTCAACAAAAACAGATGTTACAGTAACAAATACTACAGCATAGAGTACTTATGTCTCGTGACTCCCTAACCTAACGACGAAAGCCAAACAACACGCTATCAGTAGTGAGCCTGTTCAGACAAGCGATATTCGCTTCTGTCGCGCAATATGGATACAAGATATAACACGAAAACGCGAAATATCGCTTGTCAGAATCGGCCTAAGAGTATCGATACAGGTTCCTAGACTCAATCGTTCAGGCCAAACATGTTTGACACTGCACAACCGCATGCTAAATTAATATTTCAAATTTTCTGACATTGCGTTTTGCTCTATTTAGGATTCACATTAATACACAAATACAAGATCAAAACATTTACTATTACGATAGTGTACAACTTGTAACAGACACATCATCTCCTCTGTGTGCAACTCTACTCCGTCCACATGTTAAGCGATTCTACCACATTTATTTTCTATATATGTGTTACAGGAAATGTATGAAATCCGTCATTGTACACAATTCCTAGGAATTGTGTATAAATCCTAAAATCACCCGGAAATGTGTGATGTAAATTATATTAGACACATTTCCTAGGAAAATTACACATTTCCTAAACAGCAATCGGAAATGTAATTAAGATATTTTTTTTTTACAAAATCATTTTTATTACGCCACTTTTGGTTCTCCGAAACTTAAATGGCGCTACCGCGCCGCGGCAGCTGTGTATGTGTAAGGTCGCAAGTCTAACCTAACCTAACGGAGACTTTGTTATCCAGCTACAGGAGTACTAAAACCTTCATGCCAATAATAGTTTAATAAAAGAGATGTTAAAATTAGGCATTTCCAATACTTCAGCGTAACATGCGTGATGCCGAAAGCAAGGTATGCCAATAAATTTTAGGCAAATATTTTTTTCGATCAAAGTATAATAGTGCGAAAACAACTGTCAAGCTAAACAATAATAAGTAATTATGAGTTAAAAGTACCTATCGGCCAATGTGGTTTGGCTAAATGAAATTTTAGGCGTACCGAGGGGCACCCGATCACACGACCGCGCTTGAGCCGCTTAATTTTATACATTTCCTAATACAATATTGGAATTCTATAAAATTCCTAGGAAAAGTATACATTTCCTAGGATATGTGCGTATTAAAAAATCTCTGAAGCAATATTTTATACATTTCCTAAATAGCTTCGGAATTGTATACATTTCCTAGGAATAGTATACAATTCCTAGAATTCATACATTTCCTGTAACATATGCACTGTCTTCTCCACGTACCTATAAATTATATAACGTCATAACAATATTTACAAAGCCTAAAGAACTAACTTACGAGTAAATGCAATTTACATCTTCAATAAATTAAATATAGTGTTTACAATATCATACAAGCACTAGATTTCATATATGATATGGCTTTTTTATTTATAAAATCGACTGCATACAAAATAAACCCCAAGCAGTCATTTTATCACAAGTAGAAATTATTTATCTTTATCTGTTATACATATCAATGGCTATTTATTGATTATGATTAACTTACATAAAGTGTATACATTTATGGAATCCACAGAAAACAATTTATAGCCTGACCAGGAACATAAAAACCCTGGCATAGAGGCGCGTCAATTGCATTTGATAGTGCAACACTGAGTACAGTCGTACCTGTGTTAAAATAATAGGCTAACCACAAGGCTAACTTTATGTATCAGGATTCAGGATTACGGGCTACTTTGATATTTTCATAAATTAACGAAAAAAGATAGGTAACCTGGTTAAAATAAATTACCTAAATGAAACCATCAATCGAGCTAGTAGGATTTATTTTATTATTCATCAATAATCAAATTCAGAACTTGAATATTCAACTGCAATGTCTGCTCATGAACGCTTCAAACTCGGTACTTCTTTCCCAATTTCATAAAATTCAACACTTAGAAAGTGACAAAAAATTTTAAAGTAGGTAGTTGAAACAAACCACAGCTAATTTTCATAGTGGACTATACTATACGATAAACATGTCAGTCCATTTGACAACCTTTGTCGGAAACCTTATTCAATGAAAATATTCTCCGAACCCTTAGTATTTCTCTTCGACAAATACTTTAACACATTGTGAACCACTTTTCTTTCACGACTATAAAAATATTTTAGCAATTTAATTCACAAAATCAATTGCGCACATTTAAAATAAAGTTTGTTTACACTTTGACAGCAATAGACTGACATGCAAGGTGACATGTCAATGAAGTTTTCAGTTACTGTTGCCATTAAAAGAAATTAGTACCATTAGTTTTCCGCAACATGGCGAGGGTTTTTATGTTCTTGGTCGGGCTATACTACATATCATAAATAGTTACCTTACATTTATTTAAATAGAACATAAGTTATTATGAAAGTATGTAATAAGTAATAAATTAAACCATAACGGTGGCAACAATAAGGAACTATCAGTCGCGGGACCGACAACGTAGATGAGTAGAGGACAGTACAACAGACTTGAGAATACTAAAGCCCCTGGCACACAGCTGGCGTGAATGTAGCGTTATATTTCTATACAATTCGAAACGGAACACATGAACGAACACGCTTTCACGTGACTTTCAATTTGTACAGATCTCACGACCGTGTGCCAGAGGCCTTAAAGCTCACATTATAATAAATTTGACTAGTTCTGTGTCTTATACTCTAACCTTACCAAACTATAATTATTTCCCTAACACTGGCAATTCGTACTCATAGGATCATTGATTTTATATCAATCAGGTAAACAAACAAAACATCTAATTCGAAAAGGAGAAAACAACGTACAAACTTTGCTTAGGTTTGCGGAATCATACATACGAATATTATGTAATAGATACAAGCTAAGCTATATATAAAGTTAAGACAAAAGTGAGGTAGCATTTTTACTTTCTAATGGAAAAATATGTACAGATCTAGTTCAAATGCAAGGGTGTTTTGTATTTGGTTCGGGATATTACTATTACAGTAGCGACGACGCTAGGCTAGGCAAATATACAGATTCAGATGTCTCAAGTAGCCCACGATAAACAGGAATAATTTTACCAATACAGATAATACAACGCGTGTATTACAATCTATTATAGTCATTGACATAATGAGTATTAACTACATGCACACTATTAATTACTCGAATATGTGCAGCTTTGTAGATGACTAGAGTAAATATGTTTTAACGATATAATATATTATGTATAAAACAGTTACATTTTGTATATTCGTTTTCGATCACTGCAAGGATCCATTGATAGACACATATTGTGAGGATAATACATTGACGTTGCAACAATTATTCGTACGCCTCGCTCAGATGTTCCAATAAAAAGGTTAGTTGTCTTTTCATGAAAACGTTTTTGTGAGCGATGGAGTCGCATAGCGCCTGCGTGGGCGCCGTGTTACCGTCCGCGTTGTTGTTGTCAACAGTACTATCCTCCGGTGCCTCAGCGGCCGCATTGAATACGTCGATCGGAGCTTTGCTGATATGCTGATATTTAAACGTAGACAATATCTGCCGGATCTTTGCAATGATCTGCTCTACTCAGGCGTTCGATTCCTGCGAAAAATTTGAAAACAGACGTGAGTCAGATTCTGTGAGACAAATCCACTACAGGATTTATTGATTCTAATCGAAAGTGAGGTTCACACTCTACTGCTATGCTAATGAGATAATCAGCTGCAGTCTAGCTCGCTACGTTGATGGGAGAATGAGGGATCGAAACGGTGAGTGTGCCAGTGATCGGGCGAAGTCTAAAGTCAAACGCTGCAGGGCCGTGACGCTAACCTTATCCGTACTTAAATACCGTTATAATAATACTGCGCGGTATTAAATGTATATTCGTATAAAACGTAGTACTCATATAAAATACTATGCTAAGATTCATTTTAAATGCATCAAAATTTAGGCTCTATCGTCATAAGAAAGTAGGAGGACATCGAACATCGAGATAGTGACAGAGCGGCCGCGCGACGCAAGCGACACAGCGATACTATGCTAGAAGCGTGGTGGGACGGCGTGTGGTTTATACCTTGAGGTTGTGGAAATAGTGCATGATCTGGTCGTAGTCCATGTGGAGGTCGTCGAGCCCGAGGGACTCGGCGGGCGGCGCGCGCGGCGCGTGCTCGCGCGAGTACATCGGGTTGCCGACGATGGTGGCGCGCTTCACCTCGGGCGAGTTGCTGCCTGTGGATAGAAGCATTGCATTAATATCGGAAAAACTGGATTATATGAAGAGAGAGGCTCAGGTTGTCTACTTGGGTTAGTTTATCAAACAAGTAGTGCGTTGTACAAAAAAATGTCCGTGTCATTTTTAAGTCGCATGTTTGTGTCAATATTGTGTAGGAATCTGTAGGATAACTGCAAAGTTGGGCTGTGAGACTTCTAGCACTTCCATCAGTTTATACTGCACTCTACGTGTTATGACAGACTCATTTAATTACTATCGCAATCTCCCAAAATGTAAGCAGTTTTTTTTATCATAAATAGTAACAAAATCTTGATACCTTTGTTCTGGCTGGAAGCCTCCACGAAATCTCCCTTAGGCTCTTTGGTCCGCTTGTGCCTCAGTTGTACCTCTGGCAGTCCTGCAAGCAATCCATATTTATATTAGCGATAGCCTTACTTCAACTTCCTTTGACTTAGCCAGCTTTTGCGTCTATGAATTCGGGAAGGGGAAAACTTGTGTAGGGTAGAGGAGAAGATCATTCACTAGGATTAGCTATCTCACAGGACACCTACAGTAAAATGATTTTCAGTATCAGACAACAAACGAAACCTCTAAATCCCAAAGCATCCAAAAATTTTAAGTCTCACCTATTCCCGAATCGTGCATGTAGTCAGGACTTTGAGGCTTAGCGAACGTGCGCCTGGAGTCGTCAGTTCCTCTGTTAAGACCGACGATCTCCCTGTAATCCTTGTTCTCCATCACGAGGGGGGCGTCGTTGTCGAACTCGAAGAGCCTGGCGCAGTCCTCCTTGTTGGTCAGCTTCTCCACTGGGTTGTCGTCGAATTCCGGTCGTGAGTCTCGCTTGTAGTCTTTCATGTCTCGGCTCGATATGTAAGGGGCGTCGGTCTTGTTCAGATCAATAATTCTGGAATGGATAAGTGGGTGATTTCAGAAAAGCAAGTAAAAAATTCCCCTCCGTCGTACTTACTGCTTTGGCGGTCGGTAGTACGACGGGATTTTTTTACCAGTACTTATAACTACTGGTAGAACGATTGGTGTTAAGAAAACGTACAATACATTTTAATAATTTGTAAAAGATTCCAATGAGGGTAACATTAGTCCTCATAGTTGAAAGCATCGCTGATTCTAATAGGGTATGTTCCGGATCACTGGATTCGGAATTTCCTTGATCACATGTGCACATAGATATTCACTGACTCGGTACTAGATTAAGCCTTTATTACATTGTTGCTATCCGGTATGCTAATAATTTGGTAATTAGCCAGATAGCATAGCAAATCATAGTTTATGGGATAGATTGTATTTTTATACTAGAAAGCAATGAAGATTGTGTTTTGATGGCAATGTAAAATAACCTTTATGTTAGAGTGTCAGAGCTTTTTTAAACTCACCTGTCGGGGCGGCGGCCATTTTCCGGAGATATCTTGGTGGAATCGTGCTCGCGGTCGTGTTTCTTGTGGTGGTTGCGGGAGTGGCTCCGCCTTGAAGGAGGCATGACGGTCTCGGGCAAAATCTGAAAGATAAAAAGATACAATACTTATTTAATTGTAACTAATTAAGAATGTTATTCTTACAATTAATTTTACAACTTACATTTAAGTTGTACTTAGACAAGCTCCTTAAAATTTCTTACTAAAATGTTTATCGTGGCACGGGTAAAAGCTAAGAAAATAGTTTTAGCTGTTCAGAGGGCTGAGTGTGAGTTTTCGTCAAACGTTAGCTCACACTCAGCCTACTGTAGTAATGTACTAAATATCATCAACAAGAAAGCTTTTTGAGACTCTCCATAGAGTCACTGTATGCTGTAAGAACTTTGTTTAAAACAAAAATCTGAGTAGGTAGTTTGAAGTTTAATAGCTATTATATTTGCTATGTTACTAATTTATTGCTTCTAAAATCTAGATTATTAGAAAGAAATCTCACTTTGGGGTTTCGCGGTGGCACTGGCACTTGCGGCTGTGGCGTGGAGGAGTTTCGGTGCGGCGGCACCGGCGGTCGGTAGTCGTCCTGGCCGGCGGGCTCGGTCCTGAAGACCAAATGTAGTAAATTATACCTCAATTACACAATACAAACAGTTATCACTACCACACTACATAAGCGCTATTAATTCAAGCATTTGAACAATGATTTTGACAACACTGAAAGGCACACGTTACGATATATTGCAAGTTGGGGAAAACCAGGATTACAAAAGATAGATTTGACTGTGACCTCACGCAAAACTAGTTATAATTCATCGGAATTTATCTCGAGAATTATCACACAAAAGACTTGATAAGGTTTTGTACAGGGTGTGCTAGGCAGTCACAATATTAATAGGCTCACTCACTACATATTCAGTTCCAGAATGCATGCAGTCTTTTAGTACTTAATTACAGCATTGCTGTGTATGAAATACTAAATCACTACTCACTGCCAATGAACGTCTCCCGACTGCGTACGCGCATGCCTCGCCGGTTTCTTGCAATACGTCGTCGAGTCAATCGTTCGCTTCTCGCTCTGCGAAGGCAGCTCGATCGAGTTTGGATTATCGAAGCTGGTCACCATGACGTTGCCGTTCTCTCGTATAGCGTCGTCTGGGTCTACGTAGTTGTAGTTGAGAGGATTAGCCGTGATCCGCATCTCAGTGGTATTGCCGTTGTCGACAGGTTGCGTGGAGTTGCGATTGGCCGGGTGACGGTTGCCGTTGCGCTCGATGGTTGCGCGTCCTGAAAGATAGCGATAGTCATTTATTTTTACTGTCAACTTAAAATAACTGACGGCTGAGTGTGAGTTTTCATCAAACGCGCTCACTAATGAGCGCGTAAATGACATAAAATGTACGACGGATTATACAGCGCCCCTAGCGGAAACTTTCAAGAACTAAAATTTTCATATATTTTAAACGCGCTCTGTGATGTAAACTCATACTAAGCCCTCTGATAGTGTTTTTTATTTTTATTTAAGTTTTGTTTAGCATTCCATGTAGAAAAATATGGTGGCCGTGTGCTTGATTTAAGAGTTTGTTTAAGAAAGTAGAATTCTTATGCAAATCGTGTCAAATCGCGTGCTCTTGCCACGTAATGCTAACCAGATTTCGTGACACGAGGGAATTATAGAAACTTTTGCCACTTTAGACATGAATTCTTCACATAACTAAAGTTTAATTTGGCGACCGATAGTGAGTTGTTCGTATGCCTACAGGTCTTCCCTCTGTATGTAGTATACCCATCTACGTGAAGGTTACCTGAAAAATATTGCTTTCTGGCGATAAGATCGCCAATAGCATCTCAAATCATATTTTCTGAAATTTATTTTTTACGGTGCTCAACAAATCTACTTACCTAGCCAAACCCAATCGTGAGCATTGGTAGTCGACTCCCTAGACTGCTTGTCGCGCGCCAGCCCAAGCGTGGTCCCGACCAGCCCGGCAACTTGGATCCGTCCGCCCTCCGCCACCGCCGGCATTGCCCGCCCGCCCCCGGTCCCGCCCTCGGCGCGAGTCGGCTTGAGACGGAACGCGTAAACGACACAGGATACGACAAAAACCTGTGAGAGATAAAAGGTTTGGTTAGAGATGTTAGATAGATAAAGATAGAACAGTCATCCATTTAGGTACAGTCAGCGTCAAATAGTTCATAACACCCAAAGTGGTCAAAAAGTTGGCAACCCAACCTTATTCTAATTGTACCAAAGACGTGTTACGAACTCTTTTACTACTTACTTTGGATCCAACGAACTATTTGAAGTAGACTGTACAACAATCAATAATGAATGATTTAGAATGAGTGACCAAATGCTAGAGATGCTAAACTAATGGTAAATTAGATAATGTTTATTCCTGCAATGGAAACTAAATGGCCTGATTAAACTAAAGATTGTTTAATTACTTAGTTGTAAATTTTTGTTACTTACCACAATAGCCAGGCAGAATACTCCAAGTAGGACTGACATTCCTGAAAGAGTACATAAATTGATTAGTGTCCCCGATTTTTGAGTCTCATTTTTTATAACTGTATCATTTTCTTAGTTTAGTGACGTACCAATCTCAACTGGCCTCATGTTATTGGCGGGAGGGTGTCGATTCTGAATCGATGGGTTGTTGCGGAAGATCGAGGAGCCATACTGCTGCGCCTGCACTGTAGGCTCGTGGTTATTCTCATCCTTCATGTTGGAGTTGCCATAACCTGCAAAAATATAAGCTAGTATGAATCAAGTAAAAATGTTGATAATCTGACGCCAACATTTTCTTGAATGAGGGTTTTCGCGTATGAAAAATACGTAGACGCGAGGTCCAAATGCTACATGATTAGTTATTTTTGACATGTCAAAATCCACCAATCACGCAGCAGTCAGACCCCACATCCACGTCCCGCCATCTAGCGGATCTTTCATACGCGAAAACCCCCATTGAGCTCTACAGTTTATACTTAAGTATAAACTTAAAGGCCATTTAAAATGTAAAAAGATATCTCAAAGTAAGAATCACCTTTAAGCATATCTGTGAGATCCGCGATCCCAGACCTGAGTCCGCCTCGCACCATGATATCGTCATTCTGTGGTGTATCTGGTCTCTGAGGAGCGTCTCCACCGCTGAAGTCCACGTCCACACTCGCAGCAGCGCTGGCCAAAGCACCAGGAATGTTCTTGATGTTGGCCGGAGTCTTCGCATCGCCTTTCCCTGGGAGGGCTACCCTACGAAGAGGACCATTGCGGCATTGTTCAGGAGTTAAGAGGGTCACACGGAGTAGTTCGCCGCTACCTGATAAAGTAAGAAAAAATATTTAGAAATCGGGCATTAATTCATTATCATCATGTTCCAACGAAGACAGCTTTGATCCAAGTTTTTAGTACCCCTCATAATGAGGTCATTTTAGACACGGTCATAAATCTCAACTTTACAACCTTTACAAAGTGGAACATTAAAAATTAAACAGCATTAAAAAGTTCCTAACCTTCACCGACGGCTATAACTCGTGGGTGTTTCGAAGCGAGCATCGGGGCGAACGCCACGACCTCGGGGTCCAGGCTCTCGACCAGTAAGAAGTAGTCTGTGACGGCAACATCCCGTAGGGCTGTACGACTGCCGTCCGAAAACTCGATATCGATGTCCAGTAGTCCTTCCTGTAAGATTCCCAATGTTTCAGTTGCAAAGAATGTTTCTTGCTTTAAGAGGCTGTTATTTCACACTTGCTGAAGACTTAAATAGAGAAATTAACTTATCGGTCAGACAAATTACAAGTTTTGGTTTCACGGGTAACAACAAGCTCTACCTTTAATGTTAGCTGAAATTGTTTCAGGAATCGGTTTAATTACTGGCTTAACTTAATATTTAATATTAGAAATTCTATGAAAGACGAGACATTTTGAAGGACGGCGCTAATTAGTTAAAACAAACGAACTTCGCCTTAAATTCGAATTCTTGCCCGTTAACCGTTTCCTTGATAATTACGGGAAGCGTTTATTAGAATAGTTTCAGACTCACTAAAACTTTGTTTCGGCAGCTAGTTGAGTTTCGGATAGTTGAATGAAAAATGGCCCTAACTTACTAACCTGATACTGGGCTGTTAGTCGCCTAGTGACGGTAGTTTCCGAGACGTATCCATCGGTAATGGCGGAGTCGGGGGAAATGTTCAACTGTAGCCCCGATATGACGCGAACTAGCAGCCGCGAGATAGAAACTTTGTCGTTCACCACGCGAACTTCGCGCAGCCCAATCACGCGACCTGGCAAATAACAAATAATAGAAAAGTTTAGAACTGAGCGAGTACGGAACCAATTCCCTCAAGGCTATTTGTCTTTTAGGTACTATTTTTGTTACGTTTTGTTGCCATTCGATGGAATGGATTGCGCCTGAAGGCTGAAAAATGTACACGCTACGTTTTGGATAAAATGCGACAGTCTGTTTTTGAAATAGGCATGTATTAAAACTGTGGTGCTGAGCTACGGACAGATCCGTAGATATTTATAAGAATCAGTTTTTTCGTTTTTAAAAACGCCCTTATGAAACGCACGTTGCCGCTGTGACGGCAGCTTTTTAAGCTGTTTTTGTATATCGAGATAGTTATTAAAATCTGGTTAACTGCTCAAAATCCCATGAAGATATTCTGACTACTCTACATAAAAATATTATAGAAGTTAATAAGAAGCAACTCAACTCACCAGTAATAGGCGACAGCACTTGCACCTCAGTGCGGCCAGTGCTCCGCCCTTGGAGGACGCGTCCCCGCAGCGACGCGATGCGAGGGTCGGAGACACGCATCAGGGTCAGAACCAACTCCGTGACCTTGAGCCACGTGCGACGAGACACGAAGTACGACACACGCCCCGAGTCGTGGTCTTTGGCTAGGAAACGGGCGTAGACCTGTGGGAAGATCGTGTATTTATGATCCCATCCTCTACATAACTATATTTTGTTCGCCTTTATTATAAAAAGATAGTACACGTAACTGGATACTAGATAAAGGTACAGCTTAGGGCATTTTAAAATACTCAACGTGTGTGTAGGTAAGTTTTTTCCTGTAAGTGTCTTTAGCTAAAAAAATATGCTATCAATTATTTGCGAACCGAAACCTACCAACGAATAATTATTAAAATTATACAACTGGTTCAAACCAATAAACCTGATGATCTGATAAACTGAAAATAGTTTATTGTCCCTATTTAACTAGCCGTTCAAACACTAATATCCTAAGGATAGGTATACCTACCCCACAAAACTTTTTCAATATCGAAACTTCACACAATACCCGTATCGACGGTTTAGGGCGAGAAATATACTAAAATAGTCAAATTTTTTTTTTTTTTTTTTTTTCGGCACTTTTTCGATTTTGGTTAAAGTACCTAATAATGTGCTCACAGTTTTTATTGAACTTCGAAAGTTCTGAGCTCCAAGGGCGTTTAGTTGCAGTCTGCTAATGGATACAGTCTGCTACCAAACGTGAAAAGAGAGAGAGATCCAACAATACGTAGCTTACAAGCTATGTTTTGTTGATCCCCTTGAGTTGATGGACTATTGAGTTAATGAGGGCTATGAACGTGACGATTGGTTGGGATTTTGTTATGATTTGTTGTGGTTTATAGGGGTCAATCCGTAAATTGTTGCATGTCATCTCGTGCTCATGCCGGAGTCTGCTAAATATTGGGCAGTCTCGCATGAGATGGTCAATATCCTGTAAGCTGGAGTCATCGCAGGGGCAGTAGGGGTTGTCTATGATCTTGAAGCGGTGACTAAAATAGAGTTGTAAAGTTGTTTGCGAACTATCCTGGGCTACTAAACGGTACCGATACAATTTAAACTTAATTAAGATACGAATTCGATTAACGTTTTTGCTAGCTGTAGACTTTACATAAAAGTTATTTTCATTTTCTATCGCACAATATCGTTATTTTAAGACCTGTCACTATTACTACTTCGTAATTATTTTAGTACCTAATTAACGGCGTCTGCAGACGAAACTAATTAAAGTTTTGATTCCACCATATTTTACGCGAAAGCGTAAGTTTTCATTGAATATTAAATGAAAATCTTTAAATACAGAAAAGTTTAAACTTAAATGAACTGTTTTTACACTATAACTCCTACAATTTAGTTTATTCGACAGCAAGTTCTTGTAAAGAACAACGGATTTTTTATTTTTGCTGTCACCATTGATCCCAAAGTTAAATTTATGCATTCTGTATATATTAAAAATTATCCTGCATGACATACCCTGCATACAGAGTAAATTACCCTGTAAACAACTACACAGGGTAATTTTCAAGATAAACATCTAGTAACTCACCTCAACGTTACTCTGCTGGTATCGGAGCCGGCACGAGCGCTGGTCAGTCAGAGCGTTAGTGCCGTCTGGCCTCGCACCACCCCATCCTCGAGCTGACAGCGACCTCTTCATCCGATCTTTCGTGCCTGCTTCGTCTGACACCTTCCAGCCTAGACACAATAATTAGTTAATTATCAAAGACTGTTACTCATATTGATGCGTTGTTTTGAACCAAGGTGAGACTTATTAAAACGATTGTGACTCGCAAATCTCTCAAGATAATTGTAGTCGACAGTTTTATGAATTCGATGAAACGTTGCCATTACTATCGTGCGCAAGTAATATAAAGTTATTTTAGTGAAAATGTGCATCTAAAGCACCTTATGGTTATTGACAAAGACAAGTAGCTTTAATTACCGTAAGACTAAATTAACTTCTACAAGTTAGTCACTGGTAAATTACCTTTAATTTGCGACAGCCTATTGTCATCCACGTCGATCTCCAAAGGGTACTCGGGCATCCAAACGGTGAACCGAGCGAGGCCAGTGTATGTTCCGTACTTCACGATGACTGACGCGTTTGAAGACCCTCGGATCTCGGAGCCGTCTACGTACACCGAACTGCATGACGAAGAGACCTAAAAGAAATAGAAGCTTGAGTAGTTATTTAAAGTAAGGAGGTAAAGGAACTCAATTTTGAAATCTAAGGCTTTACCTACTTATGTGTTTGACCATCTAAAACTATAAGTAACGGCAAAAAATACAGAAGAGCTAGTCTTATTTTGGGAATAAGATTTTGATCGACCTTGAAGATTTGGAAAAAATATGCTCGCCATAATATTATTATCAATACTGTGGCCACTATAAGTCCGACCAATGTTTTCAGATTTTTCAGATGAGGCACCTAAATAGTTATTTAATTTTTAGCGTTAAGAGTCGCATCTCAAACTAATTTGAAAATTATAAATAACTTGAACTCGTGGGTTCAATTCCCGCCTTAGGCAGTTCGATTTTTTCAAGAGGCACCTAAATCCTGAAAATACCTACTTGAATAATGTTCTAAGCACTTCTTTGACTTTATTAAATCAATAAACATACCTTCAAAACGCTCTCATCTTCGGAATGACAGGAGCTCTGCAGCGTGACGTCAGCAACCTGTCCAGCCTGAGACACGATGAGCACCTTCATGGCTTGAGACACTTGGCGGCCAGTCAGAACCGCTGTGTTCAGCACTTCCCAATTCTAAAACAAACATAAAATATAAATGTCATAAAAATCCAAAACGTATACAACTTTGTAATCGTCTAGCTATCGTAGAGCTAAAATCTTAAGGTAACCTCCAACAGTAGAGACTTAAATTGTGTTTATAACTTATTTTTAACCCATCCCTCTACCAAAATAGAAAGAAAAGAAAAGAAAATAAGTACCTACGTAGGTAACAACAAAAGCTCGGATTAAGATTAGCTCGATAGAGACGATACTCGTATGACCGCCCACATTGCCTATTAATCCTCCAAGGGTAGTATTTAATGCCTATTAGCCAGCCCTTCGACTAGAAAATAAATGTTGGCTAAGATTGCGGCTCACTATTAGAAAAGGGTAGACTAGATTACTATTATTATTATAATAATCTATATTACATTTAATTGGTAGCTTCTAGGCATGTTCTGTGCAAATAAAGTACCCACGCAGCTTTGATATAACATGTCTGTAATACTTATTTCTCGGTAGCACTGTAATTAAATAAGTGTAGGTGCCACCGAAAATAGCATTTTGTCAAAGTTCATTCGACTCTACTCTTCAATAAATAAGTACGAGTATAGTATAACATGCCTTGATGTGTGACCTCTTGGTACACTTGACTCAAATAAATGTGCGTAGGTGGTCTTAAAATAAACGTTTTTCGTATAAATAGCTTAGTTTTTTAAGTACTTAGTTATAACAATTCTGAAAATGATCAATATGTAAGACAAGTGTGTTAATCAACAATGTTGTAAGACTGTTTGTGTGAGTTAGTGAATCATGTATGTATTTATGCAAGTGTAATAGGATTTGCTTAGACATCCAGTACAATATACTAATCGGATGAACTTCACAAGGGGACACCTCACAAAGGTGTGCACGACCGACGATTGTCGTCACAGTTCTCTTACTATCAGGTTTAACAATGGGTAGTAAAACTATACTAGGTATATTCCCTCCATAAACGAGTGAGTAAAGTTCTCCAGTGGTTTATGGTTCGTTTGAACAATGTTCAACATAAATGTGTGGACCGATCAGCCAGGGAGCTCAGGGAGTAACCTGTTCCTACATAATATGTATTATTTTAACTCCTATGTAGTCAAATTGTAGACAACTTGACCGCCAAAAGCAGTACTTAGTAAAGGCTAATTTAATAAGCACCACCAGGAAAATGATAAAGACTGTCTCTGGGCTCGCTCGTAACGAAATAAAAAATAGGAATTGGATTGGAACCTAAAGATTGTCTAGTACCTAGGTACTTATTGCAAAATGAGATGTGAATTTACCTACAATGTAGGTATTAGGTATTGTGTCCGTGTAACAATTTTGTTTTTATCTAACTACTAGCTGACCCGGCGAACTTTGTTCCGCCTTAATGGCAATAAATAAGCAGACTTTTTTTTTATTTCGAACGGGACAAAAAGTATCCTATGTCCTTCTCCTGGCTCTAAACTACCTCCCTGACAATTTTCAGCTAAATCGGTTCAGCCGTTCTTGAGTTATAAGTGGAGTAACTAACACGACTTTCTTTTATATATATAGATAGCGATATTGTGCTTAATTACAATACACTTACCTAATTAAGAGCTACCTAAAGGTGATTAATAGTCCACAGCTGAACAACTCTGAACGGACCTCGTTTAAAACAAGTGACAAGCGGGTAGAGACTGATAAGGACTTTGTATCTAATCGAAATACACTTTAGAATTGTGGTGTATTAATTTCCTGAAATAGGACGAACAGCATTACTTAACCTGGAAAATTCCCTGTAGAAGTGCTTTTCCATGTTATCAAGTTTGATATCAACTAAGGATTCTTCAAAATTTCCAAGTAATTACTTAGGAATAGACGTAAAATGTCTCAACTTCACAGAATAATTTTAAGCGCAATTTAATTTAGTTAAAATAAACCATTTCTAAAGTTCCTGCTTTTGACACTTTCAACCTAGTTACAATTTTATTACAAAAACATTTTCCTGAGCGAACTACGCTAAAATTCACAGCACATTAGATATTTCCTTTGAAAAAACGCCCTTGTTCTAAATTACCTTTTAAAATACATTAAAACTCTATCATTCTTCTTTATAAAAAAAAGCATTTTAATAGATATAGAGACACTAGGTAGAAGACACATTTCCATGTAGTTTTATCACAAATATACAATAGATGTTACTGGCAAAAAGCTTTATCAATACACAAGCAACTTAATTATCTTGTACTATACCGCTATTCTTATTACATAGTGTGTAATAAACAGTGCCTATCTATATGGACGTTGTAATCGCTTTGTCGACTTCAAGAGTCATTAATCAAGCCGAACGCCGCCTGAATAACAATAAGTGTATTGTCTATCCTCTATCCAGACCTGCCAAAGTCATTCACAGACTAATTACTGTAACATGCATTAATAACATCGTTTGCATTTCATCACTAGCACACAGCTAAAATAGTACAGCCCCAACAACAGACCTCACAGTCTAGTCTAGTCATGACTCATACAATCAGATATTACATAACTTTATGAACAATAATAGCATAAATACAGCTTCATAATCTACTCCTTACTATGCTTAAAGTATGTTCCTAAATACTTCATTATACGAATTACTAACAACACTACTCTAACCATCGTATACACATTTTTTTCAAGTTATTAAAAATTTAAGTATCATGTTCTATACCTTAACTAAAAAGAAAAAGATTCTAGTATTTCATTAAACTTCAGTCGTGTGAGTGTAATAAAAATACTCACATCAGTATACAAAATGGAGACTGAAACTACTAGCACATAACTTGGTTGTTCCTCCCCAGCTATGCCGCCTAGTTTAATTACTCCAATCATGTAGAGTACGTATAAACAAGGAACCCGTTTATCCCTCATTGAGCTCCGTCTACAGAGGCTCAGCCCGAGGCAGCTTTGAGGCTGCTAATATTCAGATAAACTAATTTGTCCCAAGCAATACGAGAAACTTGTTTAAATAATTGTTGTGCTGTGTTGGGTATGTTGATTGTTAACTATGTTACAAACAGTGAAGTTTATGTTTAGGGGTAATTAAGAGCTAGGTCGGGCTTTTCTCGTTTAGCTGCAAGTTGTTAAAAGTTTAGGCACAAACAATTTATATTCAATTTATAATTTTAATTATTTTTAACATTATGAACTAACGCCCGTATTCACAAACAATCAGCAAATGGAACACATAGCATTGAATAGAGCTCTGTGATTGGTTCGTGTGTCACCCTGTGCATCCACGCGCACTGTGAGACCTCATAGCAATGTTTGTGAATACGGGCGTAAATGTACTTAGTTTTCCTTTGGACAGCTTTATTAATCTAAGCTTTGGACCATAACCATAAGAGTAAAAATTTGTTTCTTTATTTCTAGTGCCATTCAAGAAATTGAAATTCATTACATACATTTTCACTTTGGTGACATGTGAATCAGTTTACGACACGTTTAGGTACTCACTTAGATTCAAACTTGCTCTCATATTCAACAGATTTAGGTTAAAACAAGAAACCGCTAGAGCTCATAAAATTCTAATGCTGTCGGCAAAATCGGGATCGGATTACAATACATTTCCTCAAACCCATATTTGAGTACGCCCACGCATACACTTGTACGTACAATTGTTTAATTCCATACCACGTGGGTGTCGGGTCCGCTCCTGGCTCATGTTTGTCTGTCATCCCGTCCCATTAATTCATAATTGGTTTACCCACAAGATGTGATCGTTTAATTAAGTTTTCCCGTTGTTGTTCTACGTATTATTTCAATGGAATTATTTGCTTCTTACGAGTACATCAATGGTGCAAATGTACGAGAAGGAATGGAAGGTTTTGACTTGGCGGGAATAGTGAATGTGATATATGCGTATTTGCCGCATTTACATAGGATGAAAGCCTACGTCTACCCACTTTTCACGGGTAGGTAGGGTGGGTATTTTTTTAGGGTTCTGTTACCTCAAAAAAAGAAAAACAAAAAATTCTGTCTCTTGTCTTTAACGTCTATACATAGAAATACATTCCATCCATTTTTAATTTGTGTTGCTCTTATGAGAAAATGCTTCATGCCCATTTCAGTCTCTACATTATTCAACCTTTTTCCAAATATTATTTATTTGTGGAAAGTTTTTCCAAATAATATTTATGATTATAGAATTGATGAAAAATTAAACAGCGCCCCCTAGGGCGGCTATAATATAGGGGGCGCTGTTTAATTTTTCATACAAAATTTTTCGATGGCACTTTGAATACGCAAACGAAACGAACTCGAAAGTTTTTCGTAATAGAGGTACAGTTCGCGATCCGCCGTCGGCTGTTTTTATCAGAATGATTTCGGAATATCTAATATTTATGCTGATATCTGATATTAACAAAGTTGTATATCTTCGCTACAATTTATGAATGACAGTTGCTGATAAATCCAACATACAGAGATATACGAGTATTCTATATTACCTACGGATGGATTGAATTAGATAATAGTGATTAAGGAAGAATAAAATACGTCACCCGAGTCGGGAATGAAAGTAAATTTTAAATGCAGGGAGGTACTATGTATAAATAAGAGAAAAGGGTAAGCCCTTTTTTCATCAATCTTCCTATGTTACCAAAACACGGAAAACGAATTCGCAGTTTCATTACCTCGACGAAACGGACAAAAAACATTAAACATGATACATTGGATTCGTGGCATCAATTATGGGATTGTGTATGTTAGTACTGCGGGCTATAATGCCTACCACATGACAGAGTAAATGTAATTAACGAGATTTTTCAGCGCAAAGGTTCAGATGACATTGCCTTTAATAAAACGGAATTAATTCAAGCAAAGAAAATAAAAATATATCGCCAAACAAGTTGCGTTAAAATGCGGCAAAGGCTTATTCAAAAATTAATCGTCAGCAACAAGCGAGGCGGCGAAAGGCGGCGGCGTCGTAGGCGGCTCTTTCCCAGCCTCCATTAGCCCGCTATAAAGCCCCATTACACGCCACTTCATTCATGCTAAGAGTACACCATTAAACGCTAATCCTCAACATTTGCTTGCTTCTAACCTTCGTTAAATAATTGCAACCACAACATTTTTCCAGAATAAGACACGGGAATGTCACCATTTTTTCTCCTTAATTAGATACTACGTTTTACGGTCCAATTAACAGACAATAGTGGCCGGCCGACCGTCTCGTAAAGCCCTTGAAACCCGATAAAGATATCGTTATGGCAATAAAAGGTGCTCTTGCCCCACCATTAATTACTAGGAAAATACCTTTGGTAAATTTATCGCCACAATCGATGTCTCTATAAATTGTTGATTCCCGGCATCTGTGACGCTCGTAATGACCGAATAATGGAGTGGGTTGTCGAGATTGTGGCCCACATTTGCCCGTAATATTCCCGCGTTGGACAATATTTCCATAGCGCTCCATAGTTTGTCACGTCGACCGCGAGATAAAATAATTTAAAAATAGCCCGGTGCGTTTCAGCGTGGAACATATTTACATGAGGTTCGAAAAAGCTTTTTGTTGTATTATTTATAGTGAATGCTAGACTATCGTTGTCAACATAACTATGACCTGAACTGACTTTTACTACAAAAATATTAATTTAGGATTCAAAATTATAAATTGAAACTTACCTTTGATATAGGCAGGACTGCTTGAATATCATCCTTTTCGATGTCCAGGCGAGTGTTGACGCGATGCTCATGCGGGGGTTCCTCCGTGGTGGACGTGGACCCTGGGTTGGTGGAGACCCTGGCGGACCAGCTCAAGCGTGCTGTCCCCCGGCCAGATTCGCCTTCAGATCCCTCAGTGTCGCCTTCACCTTCAGCTCCAACTTCGACTAGCCACGTCAGGATCTCTTCCCAGCCTGGACCTCCTGCACCACTGGTTTCTTCCACCGCTCTACACAATATGAAAATATTTATTAGGTATATGAAAAAACACACCAGTAATCCTAGTTCGTAAAATTGTCATCGAAAAGATATTTACGGAGAAAATACAGGATAAAATAAGAGTAGCACAGAAAAAGCCGATTCAGGACTGCTTTGTCAGCAAAAATCAGCGATCCGCTACGCCTCGTGTCTGACCCACCCCGTATTGTGCAAAAACAGATTTTATCCGGACAATATTGCTTGACACATAATATTTCAGCGTATGTGGCGCGGCGCAATTTTTAACATGGAAATTGAATTACCCTGCCTCTGTTTATTTGAAGGTTCTACAAATATTCACTGCAATCATGATAGCATTGGTCAAGCTGGTATCTAGTATACTACCTCAGAAGGGTATAATTTTAAAAGTCGTGACATCGAGTTTCATTAAGCAGCACCAGCGCCAGTCGGATTTATGGCCTCGCAAATGCCAGCTCCAAGTAAATACACAGTCGTGAGCGAAATTGTGAACAAATTCCACAAAAGAAATGAAAACGCGGCTTTATTTCGTTTCTAAAGAAATATGTTTTCATTTGCGTATAAAACTCGTTAACAAGTACGAGGGGGGATCAGTAAATAAATTCCAGATGAAATTTCTAAGTGGAGCAAATGACGCGCGTCTTCCCACAAATGGTGTGATTCGCACTTGGGTCTTATAAAAGCGGCACACCTTGCGGCTTTATTCGGTTAGCCTTTTGTAGTAGTGTTCCCTAGCCTGAGATTTCGTTTTACTCGAAGTTGACCCACTTACTTTCAATGGTGTCGTGGAATGCGAATAGCTGGGAGGCGAAGATGGAGAAAATAGAAACGAAATGGCTCCTTTAAATCCGCGTTGAAATGCGCCGTGGCCGTAAGCGAGTCTGCAGATGCGCTGCCCGCTATGAAAGCACAGCCGGACTAAGACGCTTGCAATCCCATTCCTATCGTATCTCGCTCGTGCAATGCAAACGCAAGCCTGTGTATGTAATAGATGCTACAATAAATAAATCTCCGAATTTCTTGGGAACGTTTGCAATAAATCTTTGCTCCGGGGAATGCAACCAATCCGTTCATGTTCTTTGAAATAAGTTTCGGTTTCGAATTTGCTTGGTTACTAAAATACGAAATATTTTATGTGAGCGCAGAAAATGTTCAATTAAGCTACTCCTAATATGGCGTGACGGGTAGGCTCTATAAAACCCTCCAGTAATAGACGTTCGCCGAAATAAACAGCTTTTCGAGAGAATGGAGGTGACACGGAATAATCGTATAAAATACTAAGCTACCATCTACCTGGCCCCAACTGGTGCCAAGATTTCTTTGCGGACGGATGAAATAATGGCTCACGACATAAACGTGTAGAGCCGCCGCTTTTCGCATAGTAAGTGGAAATGTCTAGATTGATGTACCTACTCTTGAGCCGGCTTCTTACCTAAATTCAACGTGAAAATATACCGATACTAAAAGAAACTGACAGGTTTTTTCGTTAATTTAAACTTATTATTGTTTCATTTCTTTCAACTTCCCAATGACGTCAAAATAATTATCCCAAGGCACACAAAAATCTACACACTCGTAATTAATTCATGTTGTTTACCTAGTTTCCGCTAATAACTGCAACATAGTAGACCTTGCCTCCTAATCATGTTACAGTCCTAACAGTAGGTAGAACAGTAGCTATTCAGTATCAAAGTTGCAAACTGCAATTACAACTGCAGAGTTTTCACCGTCATAACTCCAACTGGATACCATGATTAATTTACTACAATTTTATAAAGCACTACATACCTACCTTACCTATTTTTCTTTTTCTAGCATTTGCGTGTTTCTTTTTTTTTATTTGTGGAACAATTAATGCAATTTTATCAAAATTCTTCCACTTCTCTTAAAAGATGTAGACTGATGTATGACTTTTCTGATTAATTCAAAATTATTACACTCTAGCTTGAGTTTAGAGTGACCAAACAAAAACAAAACTGCAGTTAATAACTGAAGTCCACTTACGTGTCAGTTCCATCGTCATCCTGCAGCGGCTGTTCAAGTCGCGTTGCGGTGACGGTCGCAGCCCGCTGCTTCACCTCCGCGGTCACCGCCCACCGCGAGTTGGCTGCGGTCACGCTCACCAACCGAAGGCCGGACTTCACTTTCATTCTGGTGACAAAGATTGATCTAGCATTAATTTGTGCTGCAAAAGTCATATTTCAAAAGTAACCTAAATGTCGCTGATATTTAATTAAAAACTTTTCTTAAGGTACCTACTGGCAAAGAAGCAAACAAAAAATATATGACGTATTTGTAACTTGTTGTAGCCACTGCACTGAAACCACGACACCCATTCAAGTAAGAACAATGTTTTTTGTTAATTTGGATTGTCTGTGTTAATTAAGGTATTGTTACTCGTATTGTAAAATAAAATACTTGGATATTGCATAGATTTAAACCGAATAAATACACTGCAACCAATACAGTCATTTCATCGGCTACCTATACAACATCACATAAATTGAACGGCTCCTCACGTATGAATATCGTCAGCCGCAGCGCTATACATCACACGGGTTATCAAAGTTTCGACACAATTTCAGGCTGGCCCGCTGTAAGACATTACAGCGTATTGTGTGCTATCTCCGGCAGAACCGAAGTAGTTATAAATTTCCATTTAGGCGCAAACGCCGTTCCCGAACGCCCCGACGGCTATAACTCTGTGAAGCAGTTTGGAAGCAGGTGGCGCGGGAACTGCCAGTCTCTATCGTTCTGAATCTTTGGGAAGATTTTCTAGAATACAGATTTTATGATATTTTAGATATATTTTATGGTTTTGAATTGTAGCCTGTGTTACCAATTATGAATTGTAGCCTGTATCACCAAAAAGATCTTATATAAAATTTTATTTACTTCATTGCACTATGTAAGTAAACTATGCCACACGTGTCCAAAACAAGGACAAAGCTTTTTAAGGAGGAAGTTTGCTCCAACACGTTTAGTAAACAGAAACGTGTCTAGATAGTTACTTTATTTAGAACTTAATGAGTTTCTGGGAAACCTATGTAAACAAAGGCAGTTCATGTGACGAAGTCCACGAGCGTTAGGTTCTACCTAGGTATTAAAACAATAGGTTGTAAATTTCTCGTACTACGCTCGAGTTTACGCGACGGCTACGCGACGCGCGTGTCGGGCGGTCGTATATCAAAATTTGCAGTGTTCTTTGCGGTTTCGTTAATAGCAGTATTGTTGTAAATTACTCTGACGCTACATCACGCTATTTCCAACTCAACACTATGTTGATTTGAAGTTTCATATGTAGTAACTAAACTTCTATCCTAACACTCTATAATCTATAAGACCATATTCATCATATCTCACTTATTTGTTACGAACACATTAGCAGCTATGTTGTTTGTTTGAACATAACGTTGCTTAAGTTTAATCTTATCAAAATCAATCCCCTTAACATAAAATGTTAACCGCGAATAAGAAAATGTATAAGTCCTATAAGTTTGTCTGAAACAATAGGGCTTGTACAAATAAGCCGATAACGTTATATTATGCCATTTACATTAATGTATTCTCCGAACTTTTCTCGGCGGATTATCTTGAAAAGCTCAAAGGAGTCTAGAAATGGTTTACAAACTAACGTAAGTTTGTAAAGTAAGATTAAACAAATGTAGAAGTCTTGTTTGATCGACCTTTGCCAAAGAATGATTATTACAGAGCTTAATTTTCGGGGAGGGGCTTAACCTATAGAGGAAAAGTTTTAATTGGAGATTCGAGGCCAACACAGCGGGCACTTGAAGCGCATTGTGGAATACTAGCGCGTCTCGAGCGCCTGTTAAAAGTTGCAAAGCGTTCCAATAGCCCATTATTTTTATGAACGTCAATACCGCGCCTACTCCATGGGAGTGTAACGGGTTTATCGTGGAAATAAAACTAAAGCAATCCACAATACGTGTTAGCTTTACGTATCGCGTGGGCTTTGTGAACCTAACAGCCAATCCATTTAAGCTGAAAGACCTTTGTGAATGTATCATGTTTCAAATTCTTTGGTAACGTTAATTGCTTTTGGTTTACCTAGCGGGATGGACTGCGGTGCGTGTTGCGATAGGTCGTTAAAATTGTCAATTACGTTATCAAGGATACACATTTATGCTGTGTTATTGTTTAATTTTGCACCAAATATAAACCTAACGACCTGAAAATATGCATTTAATTATGTAGATTTCGTAAAAAACAGTTGCACCAATCTGTTTGTTCAATGTCGTTTTAAACTATTAAAGTGTTATCACAAACTTAATTCAAATCAAAACCAATGACGAGCAATCTCGGCTAACGGAACCCAGTGTGTGGTGTGTTAAATCGTCGCCGTGACATCAAGTGCCTGCCGGTGACAGCATTTCCACTGCTGTGGGCCGAGACGTCAGGCTGCCGGGTAGGCGGCTGCATAATCACTTACCAATTGACAGGTCTATCTGGTGCGTGCTTGTACTAGACGTGTAGCTTGTGGACTTGTGTTTAACTAAATATTCAGTGAGCTTTTCATTAACTAACGCACTTTGGAACAGTGTTTTGATAATGCGCTTCTTAATACGATGGTGGTCCACATCCCACATCATACATTGTTTTTGCAAAATCCTAACTATTCAGTTCGATTAACTCATGTAGTACCATTATAAAATTTGTTATTGATTGGGTAAATTAGCCAACTTTGTAACACATTAAAATTATAAAACTTCGTTTTGGGCAAACCTCCAGTGAATCAAATGGTTAATGTAATCCCAGTTCAATATGTAAGGCCAGTCTTATTCCTTACCTACGTCAAGCCTTAATCTGGCTTATTTGACCCAATGCCTCTTTACACAAATCTTTCAACGGGTCGATTTATCCCTCCATATTTATATGTTTTATCTTTTCAAGTCATATCTCACAAAATAAACTACCCCTTGTTGAAATCTTATTATGATTGAAATTCAATTTAGCATCTCTATCGACCATTTATTGTTTTTTACAATCGCCATTTGTTGAGAAAATTACTAGGTACATACTATGTTCGTTTATTTAGTTGTACGTATATCAAAGCGTTTCATTTCAGAAAATGAAACAGGCTGTCCTAAGCCCTTCTCTACCTACCAATTACGGCATAACGTTGCTTAATTTCAAATTTTTGTAGCATCGGTAATCGAAGTAGCTATTCGAAATTTATTGATCAGTGTGTAATAACTGCTACTGTGTGGTCGAATGTCAGCTGACGGTTGCCTAATTTGACGAACTCGAGGCGGCCAGCTCGATTTCAATTAAAGATTACCACTTTAGAGACGGGTTCGAAGAGTGCTTAACTCGTTTTGAACGATGTAAAAGTGTAAGAAGAACTTAATCGAATATGATAGTATCTAAAACTATGAATATAAATGAGAATGAAATTCTAAGCTGTTTTACATTGTTACTCTTTAAAACTATTCATGTATAGGTAGGTTCCTATACAGTAAATTAGTTACATTGTATAATTGTATGTGTTTCAAACCAAATAAAGCGTTTTGAAAACTGTTGAACTAAAATAAACATCCACTTTCCAGCAGAAACAAATATTTATTGTTATCATAAAGCAAGTTGATCAAGACCGACAGTCTCTACTGCGGACTAAAATAAACGAAACTATCCACAACTTCGGTTTTAAAAGCTGTTAAATTGAAAACGAGGCGCTCGGTGAGTGACAATCGGAGAGACGCTCTCGGAGAACTCTCGACTCAATCAATAAATGTAAAGCAAAATAGCTTCTCCAGCAAGATTTTTCGACTGACGCGTAAAAATAGAGCGCTGGAAAAAACTTTTACAAGTCTGGCTGTGCGGAGTTACTAGGTTCAACTTAATAATGCACAGAGCCTAAGTGGTCAGTTGAAATCTAGAACGATAAAATATAGTATTTAAAAATGAAATACAATTTTTTACCTGATAACGACATGTCCAATAGTGTGGCTGGTGTCTCGGCGCACAACAAAGGGAAGATGCAGTCTTGAGTGTGGATACAATGGTGCTCGCGGTAACAGCAAGGCAGCGTCTCCAGCTCGGGCCTCGCGGTAGCCAGCGCGGGCGCCGGCCAGCGTCACTGAGCCCAGGGGCCAGGCTGGTTGCACAGACACTCGTCCACAGGCCCCGTCACCTGTCTCGCCACTTCCCGCTTCCGCAGCGCTATATGCCAGCTTCACAGTCCGCGGAGGACGCTTGCCCTTTCCATCAGCGGGCCACCACGCAGCTGGCACAGTCAACTCGGCTAAGCACGCGCCCTCTTCACCCTCCGGCCCACATGTCGCAGTTAACGTTCGCGAACCGAGACTCGCGTGTAAAGTTATGCACACCCGCCTTGGACGAGCGGCCGCTCGTCGCGCGCCTCCCTCACCACCAGTGTGGAACAAAACGCGCAGAACGGGAGCATCTCGAGGAAGCTCCCGAAAGACGAGATGAGCTGACACATCTAGCCTGTGGGCGGTCGCTTCTTGTAGTTCTAACAGTGTGGCATTTCTTCGGGGTGGCTCTAGGGGATCGGGCACTGCGTATCGAGCTGGCACGGTTTGCTTCGTGGAAAATGGGCCGTAAGTAGCTCGCACCGATGCTGGCGCAGACCCTTGCAAGACCGTGAACCTGTCGAGAGACAGTAGCGCGCCGGGAAGGGCCGTGCCCATCGGTTCGGGAGGTGGACCCGCACCGCTCCATCGCGCCGTGTGCTTCAGGAAGAACCCGCTGTCTTTGTTCTCGAAGTGAACTTCGACGGCCAGCGCCGCCCCTGCAACGAAAGAAAACATCCCATTACAAACGTGCATAAAACACTCATCAGCGTAAAAATGTATGACATGTGTAAAATGTTAAGTAAGTATTTTATTTTCATTCCCGACGTGAGATAAAAGGGCGCCAAACGGAATATCTGGCACGTTTCCAACTGCATTTGTGTTCTGCAGAGTTGTCAGTTTACGTCAGTTTATGTTTACAAACAAACCAATATTCTTAAATTAGGTTATTTCAGAATCTAATCAAAGACAATTTACGTAAGATTAATTCCCACAGTTTCACATTTTGTAAGAAAAAATTCTGCGTGTAACGCAGAATTTTTTAAGTGATACGTATCATTTCAATGACGGATGAAATAACCAGTCGTCCTGCTGGCTGAGGCCTCGGCAGTTCCTTGAGCTAGATTTGTGTCACGCGCCGCATTGATGGGATGCTTCCAAGAACTTATTATGCTGCTAAAATATTCAGCAGGCGATCATTATTAGAATGTGTTCTATTTTGTGGAGGAACGCGTGTTTTTTCTGACTATAACAAGATAATTTAGAGATTATACGACAAATGACAATAGTTTAAAACCTTGAAGAAATACTTGTAGGTAGGTACTCTGGTTTAGCATAATTATTTCACTAAAACGCATTATTAGAAAACTATACTGGAAATACAAACACATTGTAGTTAGTGTCAGAAGATTTACGTAAAGAAGGTTCGAGTATTTAGTACACTGCAAGATCTAAATAACCAAGCCTTGTTTCAATTAGTGGGGTTAACCGTGGGTTTCAGACGTGCTTTGATTAGCTACAATAAGAAATGGCTCCTTAATCCTGCAAGATTAACCCTAATAATGGTCGGCGTGAGAAAGTAATGAGCAAATCTCTGATTAACTTAGACCTCTGCACAGGTAGCGCATAGTTTTTGGTAGGACTGTTCAGTTCAGCTCAGCTTATGAAAATAGATGTTATAACATAACTTACAAGATGCTCGTTTATTTTCAAGTAGGCTCTTCGTTTAAAAAACTTGTTGCTATAACGGTGACATCTTGTAAAGGTGCACTGAATCAAAAGAAAAGTTTTTATGAAAAGCGCCCCACGTCGCGGACTTTAAAATATCTCTACGAAAAATGGGATTCGCTGGAAAACTTTAATAAAGAGCGGACTTTAAAAACACTGGTTCAAATAGTAGTATTACTTAAGTAGAAAGCGATTGCTTCATTTGCAAGCAAAGGGCACTATTCCGGCAACGCTCACACCCGCGGAGAGGATAATAAAAAGCTTTAGCACGTGACGTGCTGGAACAAAGAAAATTCACACCGCTTTCTGGTTTTAACCCCTTCAGTGGAGATCTTTTCATTAGGTTCGCTTGTTAACACGTCAAGTTTTTGCAGGAGATGCAGGTGCATGTAAAAATAGAGTTTTCCATTTTGTTCCGGAATCTGGTGTATTTTTTGAGGAAGGACCTGGTGCTTTGCTACTTTTCGTTTACTTTTTGAACAGTAACGCTAGTCGTAAAGGAAATTCTTTTCTTTCTTTTCTTTTTTCAGCCAAATGACGTCCACTGCTGGACAAAGGCCTCCCCCAAGGTTTTCCACAATGAACGGTCCTGCGCTGCCCGCATCCAGGCTCTTCCCGCGATCTTTACCAGATCGTCGGTCCACCTAGTAGGAGGCCTGCCCACGCTACGTCTTCCAGCCCGTGGTCGCCACTCGAGAACTTTCCTGCCCCAACGGCCATCGTCTCTACGAGCTATGTGCCCCGCCCACTGCCACTTGATTTTAAAGGTAAAGGAAATTATTAGTTTGGAATCGAAAAAACACTACATTTATCAAATGTGTCACTTGATTAACCCTATGGTGTTACTAAAGTATTATGACGTTATAAAATAGTAGATATTATGACGTTATGAAATCTGAATATTTTTTGGTAAATCCAGATGGTAAGAATATGAAATACTGAAGAAAAAACTGGCTACTGATGCAAATAAATTCACTCCACCGAGATATGAAATGCCGCGCTCCAAAAAAACTAGGTAGAAAATGTTAAAAGTGACGGAGTCTAGTAATAAAGGTGAGGCGCAAGGATGAAGGAGACTGCGAATTCAGAGAGCCAACTATCCCTAAATTAAATTATAATATTCATCGTGACAGTATTTCACACAAGCCAGATTAAAAGTTACTGATGAAAGATATATATATATACTTGTCGGCCGTTTGGTGTAGTGGTTCAGAACGGACTACTATGCCGAGAGGTCCCGGGTTCGATTCCCGGCCGGGCAGAAATTGAAATGATGAATTTTGTCGGCCGTTTGGTGTAGTGGTTCAGAACGGACTACTATGCCGAGAGGTCCCGGGTTCGATTCCCGGCCGGGCAGAAATTGAAATGATGAATTTTAATTTCTGTGACGGGTCTGGGTGTGACTATGTATAATATTTATGTATTTAAAAAAAAAACAAAGTATACATATAAGTAGTATACCCGTTAAGCTAGCACCCATAACACAAGCATTAAGTTGCTTACTTTGGGGCTAGCTGGCGCTGTGTGAAATTGTCCAAAGATTTATTTATTTATTTATTTATATAACCGGATTTTATTCAAAAGACGGAAGATTTTATGGATAAATTAAAGATTAAACTTTCTATCACTCTTAATAAAAGCCTGCACTGAGTCCGGTGGTTTGTGTGGTATTACAGCTGCCTTTGCTTGCTGGTTCCAATCCCACTAAAGCCAATTTTATGCTAAAACATTGTGAATTTATATTTGAATTCATGACCGTTTAACAGCATTAAATTTACTTTATGTTTATTAAACCATTCAGTTCTTACGTAGGTATATCGGCTTATAATAGGAACCTAACGTGCCCATTTTGTTTAAAAGGCACCCCAGTTTCCCATCCGTTGCTCCAGTGAGCAGCGGGATTGGAAACGTGACTCGTGCTAAGCGAATGGCCTCCCCGGGAAAATTAAATAAGCAAGTCCTTGCAGGCGGCCAATGCAAACACTGCGGTGCAGCGGTAAACACACAGAAAATGTGGGTGCTAAAACTATCAGCAGCCTTTACTTAGCTAAAGTTTTATGGATTTACTTTAGTTTCTATACAACAATTTGCCATTGCTATGCCACGGCTGTATAAAAGAGGCTTTTATTATTTTAATTTAAATACTATGGTAGGTAATTTAATGCGTAGGTATTAAGGATTATTTTTAAATGAATACTTTGCTGTCGGTAATAAATAAATAAATAAATAACAAAATAAAAATACTTATTTAACTGTGTAACAGAGAACACACAGAAAATAAAAATTTTAAAACATTCAACGGTTAGCTGAGCTTAAAACTGAAATTTATATTTTTGCTGTGTTTTAAACAGTAAGCGTCCAGTAGAACAATATGGCCTTGCTGAAGTTCTTTTTACCCGACTGCGCGACGCAAAGGAGTGGTAATTTAGACTTTTAATAGCTTTATATAAATCAATGCAGCGTTTAAGAAAATTTAATAAGCGTCTTACAGCCAGGTCATGCAAATATTACGGTGCAGCGGGAAACAAACGGCAAATGAAGAGGGTAAACCTCGGCGGCCAGCTGAGCTTGCTTGCATACCAAATTTTAGGGTGTTTCAGTGTACGTTTTACGGCTCGAAGGACTCCTTTCCAAGTTGCCAGTGTTATTTTTTGTGGAATATGATTTGCAGTTGGTAATTAAAATAAGTTATTGAGCTTTTTCTATTTACCAAGTTAATTTTCATTGTGTTAACATACCATAATTGGAAAAGTACTAACTATAACTGGAAAATTATTTTACTGGCAGAGAACAATTTTAGTAAATATCAAAGTGATTAGACAATGGACAGCGATTACATTACTTACGGTAAAACTAGTAATTAAAATTTTGTAACCAATTTATCAATAATTACCTATTTTTATAATAAGCATATTACTTAATATAACAACACATGTTTCGTTAAAGAAAATACCCCATATTAAGTAAAATACTACGAGTGTTAAGAGATTACAATGGTCAATAATGTATTTCAGAAATTCATTATCGTATTCAATATCTTACCTTGTTAATTAATAAGTACTTTTGTTCCATTATGAAACAGCTTAATTTCATTTCATTCGTAAAAAAAAACATTTTAAGAGTATTGTTTCCTTTTAAATCCACCATTAATAAAATCAAGATCAATTTGTAACTTTTCATTTTAACGCATGAATAAGTATCATTTTATCCTGGCTACTGCTGAAAAACAGCTCTCTCAACTATCTCACCAAATGATCGACGAAAATACATCGTTCAGAAATCGCTATTTTATTACCCTTGTAATTTATGAAGATCTAGATAGCTCTTATTTTCTCCTCGCCAAGGACGGAAATTGCTTTCACGTGAAATCTGTATAGCCCAACTTCAGCCCTGCTATGTAAATTCGGAGTAATAATGGCGTGACGTCAAATAGCCAACGCAGCGGCAACACGGCATGACAAATTAACAAATATTTGCCCGCTAATGGAGTCCACATATTACGGGATGGTGTTCCACTACTGCGATAATACGCGCCCGAAATTAAATTCAGTCTGACGGCTTCCAAGCGCTTACGGGTATAAGAATGGATTTATGTTGCTGAAAATATTGTTAATTTCAGGATCAACGTAAAAACATATTTAAGCTTTCACTTTTTTCATAATATGTGAACAGGCTAAGAACCTACAGTAGGTATATTGTGTTACATTGTTGCCACTGTGACTGTGGTGTGGTACATATGTATGAATTAATATTATATATAGTGAAATACATAAGGTTATTCCAATATTTATTACATGAATCTTCATGTAAACATCTGTTTTCAGATTCTTGACCCTATTCAGTAAAGTAGTTAACGTTTTATTTGACGAACTTTTCACAATTGTGAAAAGCTTTCTTTCATTAAGTGATATTGCAGCGTATAGTGGACAGCAGGCTTAATTGTCGTTCCAGGGTATAATATCAATGTTCCTACCGTTCGAAACACCAGTTC